TCATTTGGCACCATGTAGCAGGAAAAGAGGCTGCCCTCTTGTTTCTGGATCACGTGTATCGACTACACGGGATGCCCGAGTCCATAGTATCGGACCGGGATCCGCGTTTTACGTCGGGTTTTTGGCGACATGTGTTTGAGCTGCTGGGTAGCAAGCTCCACATGTCATCCGCTGATCATCCCCAAACTGATGGCCAAACAGAACGGGCCAATCGAGTCGTGGCGGATGTGTTGCGTACAATAGCGACTCCTAAAGAATGGAGCAAGCAATTGCCATTCGTGGAGTTCGCTATTCATAACAGTGTTCACGCCAGTACGGGTGAAACACCGTTTTAACATTAAAGAACTGCGTCATCCTCGAACGCCACTCACGTTTGTACGCATCTCGAGTTGTAGTGGGGGAGGGCCCCTCACTTCGCTCGGTGCGAATGCCAAAGAGGGCCAAGGTTTCCCTAAAGACACTGCTCATTTAGCAGTGCTCGCGGCACCTATAAGTGTCACAGAGGAGGCACGGCAAGAAATGCCAGCGCTCCTTGATGATGACACTATAGTGTTGTCAACAGCGTCGACCCATGAATGACCTCTTGGAGGCGTCATAGGCGAGCTGGATGCTAAAAGCGTGAGCGAAGCTCAGCGCTTCGTAAATAAGCGATTAGCCATCACACGTAAGGTCTGTGACGCGATGGCAAGCGCACAGGACAAGCAAAAACAATATGCAGACCATCATGGTCGCAAAAACAATGAACACTTTAGTGTTGGGGACAAAGTGCTATTAAGTACTGCTACCCTACCTAAACATGCAATCTATGTACTACCTGGTGGTACTACTAAGCTATTGCCACGATTCATTGGGCCATTTACGGTGGTCGAGGAGGTCAGAGGCCAAAATTATTGGCTCACTCTCCCACCGTATATGAAGACGCACCCCGTATTTTACGTGGGTCGTCTGAAACGGTATGTTGATTCAGAAGAGATCACATATCCACATCGGTCTAACGAGACCGATGGTGACGTCGACTGTGATTCGAGTGTCGCGGCTGATCAGGCAAAGAGGAAGCCGAGAGGCTCCCCGTATACGAACGAGGCGATAGAGGACTCGGCGATCGAGGAGGACTCCGCGCTTGACGCGGGTCTCTCATCACCAGTCGCTCTAAAATGTCCAAACGGGTATTCAGGCGGTCATGTCCCTGACGTTCCCTCGCCCTCATATTGCGCAGATCCAAAGTCAATCGCGAGACTTGACTCTCGAGATCTGTCACCTGCCTCTTCAGCGCAGCGGACTCAGCCTGCGACTGAACAGCAGCAGGGTAGGCAGCCGCGAGTAGGCGGGCGTATCGCCGCTCCTATCGGGCGCCACCTGTGTTGGTGAACGCGGAAGGGAATACGCGCTTCCTTGTTGGAAGGCTGTTGGCCCACCGGTTTGTGAAGCGAAAGCTCCAAATCCTTGTCCAGTGGAAGAGTTACCCAACGATCTTGACTCGTGGGAGCTTGTGGACGCTTTGCGCGTCGACGTGCCTGGGCTGGTGGCTGCTTATGTGAAGCAGCATCAGCTGGCGTCTTTCTGCGAAGTCCGGACGGACTAGCAGACGGAGCGTGGCGATAATCAATGGGGGGTCGCTCATTACCCAAGATTTCATGCGCACGCTTCATGGCGAAGCTGATTCGATGCGACCATTGCTTCGTTGCATCTACATGAAAGGTAACACGGCGCCGAAGTTCATCTCAATATTCGTCGGCTGTTTCGTTAGAACGCAGCACGACTGGAATTGGGAAAGCACGACCAAGTGCTTTAACTTGCTTTTTCCACAAAGGAAAGACGCTATAAAATCTATGAGCGTCTACAGTGGCACGCTGCAAAAGCGCTGCACTAGACCCCTTCGAGTTCATCCACTCAGATGGAGGTGGCATTGGTGGCAAGCCACCACTCACGTAGCTGCCCTCGCGACGGCGGGCTAGTGAGGCCGAAGGTGTACTTGGTGGAGCTTTACGCTCACACTCAGCTGAGTCTGACTCTCCATTATGGATTGTCAAGACATCAGCTTGAGGAGTTACATCTGACTGAGTCGCGACTACTCCTTTCGAAGTAGCGCGCTCAGTCTTAGTCGCTGCGCTCGTAGGCGCAGACGACGAGGTTTTACCTTCGCTTGTAGGAAGCATAGATGCTTCCTCAAGGACGGGTGCCTCAGATGATGGGGACATATGTCCCATCAATTGACCTATGCTCATCGCCACTTTCGGGTGATGGCAGTGGTGTGGTGTCATTGTAGTCTACAATGAGAGATGGATCTTCATCCACATTATAGTGAGATGGAAGATTCACCCCAGTGCCTGACGCACTTTGCGACGCCTGCGATAAATCGCGGCGCGTGCGCTTAGTGCTGGACTGCATGGGTGCCTTTGCAGGCGACCCATCAGCCTTACCACGTTTCGGTGGCATGAGCACTGAGCAGACTAAAGCGGCGCGTTTATAAACGGCTCGCCAGTCTCTCTGTCTCTTAGGCGATGTTTTACAAAATGTAAACATCGTTCTAAAACGGGGGATGGTGTAACAGGGTACCTAGTTACACGTAAACATTAAGTAATATACTTAATGTTTGGTCTAAAAATATCCATGATTACTTTGACCTGTCACTTGGGTGTGATACACAAATGTGATCCACCCTCGTGAATGTGATATCCATTTATGGATTCACATGGGAAGGGATGACGCTAGTTGAAGCTAGGCATCACGACGTCTCAGAAGGACGTCAGTTGCGATCTTAAATCTAGATTTAAGATCATGCGACAGGATATGCTCTTAAAGAGTCGCGTATTCGATCTATATATATACATATATATATATATAGCCAATCAGTAGTTAAGTATATATTTAGTTATAATTCATTATATATAGCTCAGTCTTGAATTTCCTTAAACCGAAGCACCACGCACGAGAAGCTGAAAAGCTTCTACGTGACGTCGGTGTCTTCTTGCTAAGAATCTCGTTGCACTCTCGCTTAAGCGAGAGGCAACTGGTGGTACGACTGCTTAAGCAGTCGACCAACCTCCCAACCACCCTCGCACGCGAAGGTAAGACGGTATAACCGCTTCCTCGCTTGTGCATAAGGTGTGTGCTCGTAGTACGAGGCAACTTCATAGAAGTGCCCGTCTACAAGTTTCTCAACAAACTATCTATTTGATTCAATTCAGGTTGATGCGCAGCCTCTCCACCTTTTCGTGCGCGGCCTCTCTCCCTTTTCGTGCGCGGCTTCTCCACCTTTTCGTGCGCGGCCTCTCCACCTTTTCGTGCGCACCCTCATCACATCTTAGCGCGCAGACACCGCACTATCTCTATCGATCAGCAACTACTTGAATACGAATCTGCCTACACCTTCCGACGTTGTTAAAGCTGTTAATGTTTGGTTTGGGACTGATCAAGCTTACATATCAATCAATGAATACTCTCGAAACTACCGGATGTCTGCTTCTGTTTCACGTCCCGTCAAAAAGTGACGTGATTTTAGGTTGCAAGCAGCAAGCAGCAAGGTCTTTCCTTGCTAAGTGCCCTCACAGCAGCGCGATCTTTGACATACAAATCGATCCTCAATTAAACGCAGCTCTCGAGTATCGACGATCATCCAAGCCACGGTCTTCATCATCGCCTTGCTTTCTCGTCGTTGGGATCAGGCTACAATGTAACGGGGCACCCTCCGACTATACTGATTACAGTATAGTCTACTTTCACTGATTACAGTGAAAGCAGGTGCCTCAATTACCTCTCTTACACAAGAGGCAGAGGAAGCTTTACTATTAAACAAACGCTTAGAAGTAGAGGAAAAGAAAAACTGTATTTAATATAGTTAACTATCTTAATAAAACTAATCTGTTATAACCTATGTTAACTATATTAAACTACAACTATGTATGTCGACAACTTGCCCTCCACTCATTGCGCGCGTCCATCGGTCATTGGTCAGCGCGTTGGTTGATATGATGGCCCATATCAACCAATAAGAGGGCATCTCCAACTTCAAGGAGATCTAGGAACAATATTATAAGAAAAGATAATATTGTCAAAATATTATTAGTTATAATAATATTTTATTGACACTTCATATAAGTGTCAATATTATGTAACGAGCTCACCCCGTTACATAAAATAAACAAGTTGATTGTGCCACCATCCGGGCACTGATACGATCAATTTGTGCACTGGTGAGAGGAGGTATACGCATTTGAGTCTTCTTGGAGAAGTCTTCATGAATAAATGATGACTTCCGTCGCAATGTGTGTCATACAGGATTCTACGAAACTCAATGCTCCGTCAGTGCTACACGGACTGCTAGCGTATGTATTTTGTATCACGAGGCATACAATGTCTGAAGGCAATGTGTTGATGGAGCAAAAGTTGTAATTTTTACGCGTAACATCTCAGAAGGACGCCCAAACCACTTAATAAATTCATGACTCGAAAGTGTAGTGACGGCACAGACGACGACAAGAAGTTGTAGGATGTTGTGCTCAACAAGGTGTCCGTCAATATGTTTGGCACGATGATCCAGCTTCTACCGGATGTTGTTAATCACGATTTAAAAGCTATCCTGTAAGCTCGTCAAATCGCTCTCGTCATCGCTCCGTCAGTGCTAGCTAACGCGTATATAATTACAAAAAATACGCAACGTATTCACCGTCTTGATCAAGTAACAAGTTTGAATCTCTCGTAACAACTTCTGCTGTGTTTTTTTAGCTTGGGGAGTAGGTGATCGGTTTGGCAAAACGATTTTAATACAAACAGATTTTGTAGTGATGAGCTTGTATTGGAAAAACTAACATGAACAGATCACCGTTGCAATGAAATAGAATCTGACGCAGAAGCAAATGATGCGTGATGCATCATGCACAGAGCGATTACATCGTAAGTAAGCAACAACGTAATGAGGCCACTGTGGCGAATTACACGGCGGAGCTGGTTCAGTCGAGGCTCTGCTATATCAGATAAATAGGGAGCGCAAACAGTAGTATTTACCTTCGATTCGCTCGATACTTTTGACAAACACGTTCGACACGATGCCATTCAACGTGGGCGGCGATAGCACCAGGATATCTGAAGCGTTCTATGCATGTTGGATATGGACACTCCAAATCAACTTCTTCTTCTGACGACGATCCTGAATTCTGATTCAAAACCATCTCCAAAACCGTGCTCATGAGCGTGAAGCCAGGAAGAACATTGCCGCCGCTAAGATCTCGCCACGCAGTGTTGTCAGAGGATTGCACGCATCCATTATTGTCGAGGTAATACTCGTACATACGCTGACAGTCTGGGCGTGGGTCGATCAGCCAACCCAAACGGACGCCATGCTGGAAATACTCATTTCTCATCTTGCGATCGAGAGCGCTGCGCTGGGAGCCTTGTCCAGAAAGCTTATCAATCTCAATAACGACCGTAGGAACGAATGGATCACCATGATACGTCCACGTTGACCCATTCGATAAATCTCTATGGGTGCCAGGAGGCGTGTACGCGACGTTCGGCATTCGAACGTCAGTGCCAAAAATGAAGGCTCCTTGCGAAGATGTAACTCTGCCTCCTATTCCTGACCACGTCGTCCATTCATCCAAGATTCTTATGATCTTGGCGACCACTATCTCCATGCCGTACGTGACCATTCGATACGGAATAAAGCGGCCTTCGTCGATGAAAAATGCTGGTTGCTCACCGAAAACGGGGTTCAGGAGCGGACCGAGTTTCTTCACGTAATTATTCAACTTCTTCAGTTCCACTCCAGGATAGTCCTTGACGTTGCACAAAGTTTTCTTCGTTTCCAAGTCGCGCACGAGCTGCGCAAGACTCTCCTGCTGTTCTTTCTTATTATTGACCATCTTCGTTATCTTGATGTAATGTTTTTTTCTCCAACTGAGAAAGAACAGGAAATTATTATTATGTGACAGACTAATACGAGAGAGAGATTCTATAATTTGGCTTCTTTTTCAAAAAAAATTGGTCTTTCTCAGTCAGTTGGAGAAAAAACAAGAATTGTTTTTAATGTGAAAGACACTAATACGAGTTATGGTTTGGCTTCTTGTTCAGCAAGAAACGATAGCCTTGGGCGCTCCAAGCCGTCACTACCACTGTCGACGCCTTATTCAGCTCTCGTGGAACTACAATTGATACAAAGCGGGCGTAGGGCTCGGCATTGACCTTCTCAAGAATCCGGACATTATTGTTCCGCATCATCCACAACATCATCACAGTCGATGGCGGCTATGCTCATTCTACCGACATCACGACCCGGACGCCAGAAGCAGCACGTAGTCGGCTTTGCCAAGATGTGAGAGGCGCTGGAGTTACTCCAGTTTGTGCAATGCGCTGGAGTTACTCCATTTTGTGCAACGCGCTGGCGTTATGACACACTGAGAATGCACACTTCTGTCTACTGTGATTTTGCATCAGTTTGTCAGCTCACGTACGCTCGCTCGGTTGTATTTGAACACAAACGTACGAAGGGTGCTTCCAGAGTTTGCTAATTGCAGCGCACTTAAGTCAATTGTCTTCCAGTAGCATTCAACGTTGGCGTCAAAAACGCACACAGTCGACGATTCCATGCTGCTCGGTCTTTAAGTCTTGACGGCTAGGTATTCTTCAATAATTTATTTCATTTTCGACGCACTTTTTTGTCCAGAATTACAAATAGTACGAATAGACCACTTTATTGTACAACTGAAGAGCGATGACATTAGATTGTTAAATAATGGAATCTAGACACCACCTATTGTAGCATCTACCTTTTTTGTCGCGTCCGTTGTTATTCTCGTCCGGTTAGATCCTCATGCAGCGTTTTGTAGTGTTGATGACGAGTGAGTTGCCACCTGTGCGGGTCTTCGGCTCAGAGCACGAAGATAGTGGAAACAGAACTAGCCACGACCGACATGAATAAGAAGACCACAAACACGTGAGCAAAAACATTGCTTGCCATTCCAGTTACGTGACTGCCTATATTGGTGTGCTGCATGTGGGTGTCGTCCACATACAGCACACCAATGTAGACGGTCACGGTGCCAATGATGATATCGCCCAACCAGAAGATGTTGCCCGTGAGGTCGTCGTTCACAATGGTGCTTTATCCCTTAGCGGCAACAGGGCAAACAGCTCGAATACATAACGACTTACCGTCAAGAAGCTGTAGCCATAGCTTCCTACGTACGAGAAAGCAGAGTTGCTGAAAGACTCTTTCGATGTAGGACATGATGCACGAAAGACACGAGAGTAGACACGCCAGACAGCAGTTGCCACTGCGACCAGCTAACCACGTCATGGTGCAGGATTCACTCGAACATCTATAGTATCGCCACACTGAGCGATCCGAAGATGATGCTGCCGAGGTTAAGCGTCAATGCACGTAGCCACGCCTCCATCGTGACGAACGGCGTGATGGCCGCGTTTTTCCATACGGCGAAAGTCCCAGCCGTCGTGACGCTGATGATGTTGCTTTTAACACGAGACCCAGAAGTCGATGAGCTGCATGCCGCATAGAACGGCGATAATCGCGCCGGCCTTGTACTTAGGTTGCAATTGTCCGTCGTGCACGTGCTCATACCAAGTTCCACCAGGATAGCTGGATGTATTCCTGGTGGAACATGGTACGAAAAAATCACTTCAGCACCCACAAAATGCCTACCTGATCTGTACACTGATCATCGTGAGCGCCACCTGCAACGTCTTGGCAGACGGAAAATGATCTTGACTGCCACCTTGAGGTGCGGCAGCGAGCTTGATTATCTTGCGGATGCAGCGCACGTACAGAGTGGTGAGCAGCATAAAGAGTCCGAAAACCACCACGGCTTTCAGTACAAGTCTGAGTCGCTGTTACGCGCCTTCTTCGCGAAAAAGACGGCAGTCACGATGTTGAGCACGGTGATGGTGATGAGGGTGGCCCAGATAAGCGCCTCGGCCAACAGGACCATAAAGACGATCCAGCGGCTGCGAGAGCGGACAAGCCGACGATGCGCAGTATAAGCTTGACGCCTGACAAGATGGGATCGGCAAGAGGTTAATCAGTATTATAAAATCAATGAAAAATGATTCATATGGACGGTTTGACACTAGATGCCGAATATCTTCACTGCAACGGACAATCAATCCTCTTCCTCGGCATCTGCAGTATAAAATACTTCAGTCATCTGTAGTATCAGATACTTCAGTCCATGTGAATCCACAACAAGAGATATAAATATACATACATCAGCCACTCGAACTCATTTCTTTAACTACACCCATTCGTTCCACTTCAACTTGTAATCGATAGACACAATAAAGTTTGGTGGTCGCTGAAATATTTTTTGTTATTTCGCTTGATTATAGCAGTACTATTTTCCCTTCAATAAAAGTATTTGTATGGCCTGACCCCAAAGCAGTTAGTTTGCATACACACTTAAGTGTATTTTAGATTGTGTTTTATACGGATCAAGTCGTATGCAAATGTTTGAACAAGACCAAATGGCGATCGAGCGTAATGTGTTTATGACTAAAGAGTATTGAAGAAGAGTAGAGAGAGAGAGAAGGTGGGTTCATTTAAGTACGCGTACGACTCAGTATATCCTGTCGACAGGTAACAGAGGTATCGTGGCGACTTCAACATTAAGTACTAGGTAAAATTAGTCCTCGGACATCCGATCGTCGTTGCGCAGAGTCTTGTCTCGAGATGATAAGGTTCCGTGGCGTCATTGCGGGTCCTGGGATTCGAGGTGATCGGCTTGAAAGGTCTCCAGCCAGTAATAGACATTAGGATCGAGGAATGTCGAAGCCTTCTTGACAACACCTTTCCCCACGGAACCAACTAATGTAATGTTTTGCACACAAAGTTGAAGCTTTGTTAAACCTTTTGAAAGGCGGATCAAGGGGAACTTACTCATTAAAGTCAGTGTAAATGCAGCATTGCAGGATGAAGCGACGCTGTTGCTCATTAAGCTCATCCTCCTCACGGCCAAGCTTGGTGATATCCTAAGCGCTTACGTGAAGGCAAGTATCTGCATTGGACGCTAAAGATTAAGAAATGCGAAAAGGGTGAAGACGAAATGCTCGGTGCTTTAGCTGCAAGTATTGTGAGATTTTGTTGCTTGTAGTTGCACTTGTGCAAAGCTGGTTACATGTAAAAATTAATACTCAATGTAGCATAATCTACTTTCGTTTTTGTTATAACTTTAACATGGTTCTCAACTGCGCTGCTTCTTATCAATGTACTTGTCAGATGGCACTTGTAGCGGAGCTGTAATGAGGCACCCTCCGACTATACCGATTACAGTATAGTCTACTTTCACTGATTACAGTGAAAGCAGGTGCCTCAATTACCTCTCTTACACAAGAGGCAGAGGAAGCTTTACTATTAAACAAACGCTTAGAAGTAGAGGAAAAGAAAACTGTATTTAATATAGTTAACTATCTTAATAAAACTAATCTGTTATAACCTATATTAACTATATTAAACTACAACTATGTATATCGACAACTTGCCCTCCACTCATTGCGCGTGTCCATCGGTCATTGGTCAGCGCGTTGGTTGATATGATGGCCCATATCAACCAATAAGAGGGCATCTCCAACTTCAAGGAGATCTAGGGACAATATTATAAGAAAAGATAATATTGTCAAATATTATTAGTTATAACAATATTTTATTGACACTTCATATAAGTGTCAATATTATGTAACGGGCTCACCCCGTTACATCACCCCCCTCAACCAACAGTCACATTAGTGACTGTTTAGTGACTATGGGAAAGGAGAACTTGTTGAATTTTCTTTCATTCAACAATTACGCTATGACAAAGTCAATGCGCGTCGCTGCTAAGGCAGCCGCTACTGAGGCTTCACAGCCTCAGCCAGCAGACACTTATGTGTCTGCTGGAAGTCAACATTAGCCTGCAACGCCTGTTGCAGGTTCACGTAGCGCTTCGCCACGTGAAGATGTTGACCCAGAGTTAGTCGCTGACTACTCTGGTGAGTCGGATCATGCATCTGGCTCAAAGTCACCTATTCCACTCCCGGGCTCTTGCCGGGGTGATACCTCGTCGTCTAATGCTACGAAGAGGGATCGTGGTACATTGAGTGAATCAATGTACCGTGAAATGTTCGGGTCTTCTGATGAATCAGACGACTAGCCAAACGAGTCGAAGGATAGTGACTCGGGTGAGGACGGTAAGGGTGATGTCAGTGCTTCTACTGATATCAATGCTCGTAGTGTCGGTACTTCTGTTGACACTAATGCTCGTGGTGTCGGTACTCCTGTTGACACCACGCAGGAGGCTTTAGACCGCAACGTATTGCGTCTTGCTCCTGATCGCAAGTTCTGGATGCTACCTAAGCATCTGCTTGATCGTTGGTCTGGAAAGACCAACGAACGGTTCTCCATACCGTTGTTTGATGCGTCAAAGCTTCACGGCCTTGACGCCAGTACGAAGAACTTTCGCTTTGAGAACGATTATTACATCGATGTGTTCCTTGAACATCGATGGTATGGCTCACACAAGAAGCGTGAAGCTGACGCGTTCCTCCAGTCTTGGAACGCGTTTATCACAAGCGTTTTAAACGTTGGGAAAGAGGCTTGGTTTTAAAGACTTTTTGCTAGCCGCAATAAGTTTGAGAAACGAAGTACGTCCGATGCATGCTATCGTTTGCACCGGTTATCTAGAGAGGCAAGCCTGTTATGCCTCTCTTGGGGCGACCCATGCCCGTGGTGCCTGAGCACCTCGTCAAGAGCGCCTAAGGATGCGTACCTCCTTACTGAGCCCTGGTGGAGGGCTCGCATCTCTTCTGAAATGCGTGAAGGGATTGCTACTTTGCAATCCCTTTACGAGCGCGCTGGGCGCTCGTTTTCCGATGGTCCTTCACCATCGGGTTTCTCTTGTCGTACTGTTCGACAAGGCCGAAAACGTCGGCCATCAATTGGGCCCGATGTTCCCAGCTATCCGCCGAAGGCGGATAGCCACGCCACCGGACGAGATAACTCGTCCGACGCCCCTTCACCTCGCGATGCTTTAGTAAGCGTTCCACGAGGAAGCGCTTCCCACCATGGGAGTCCACTAGCGGATGCGGTGGTGGAGGAAAAACCCTGTCCGATTCTTTCATCGGACTTGGCTGCTGAGTTAGACGGGTTTGCCCGTGTAACTCGTGAGCTCCGTTGTGATGTTGATCACGAACGGGATAAGCGTCGCCGCTTAGAGGACATTGTGCGACAGCTTGGGTTTGACCATGAGAGGTCTCGGGCAAACAATGCTGTCGCACTATTGGAGAATGAACGACGAGTTCATTCTCTGAGTAACGAGCTGGCGACACCTCGTCAGGAGATCGTCCAATATCATGGGAAGATCTCATCTCTACACGACCAGATATCGAATCTGGTTCGTGACAACAAGAATCTGAAGGGGATTCTTGAGAGTAATGGCTATCTTCGTCGTTCGAAGGAGCCGCGTACTGAACGTACGGACGAAGACGTCCCCGGAAAACGTAGGATGCGTACGCATCCTGCGTGGCAACTCGATCGTGTATGCGTTGCCTAGGCGGCGCAATACACGAAACGGGCCGATGTACTTGGGCAACAAGTTATTGCTGCCCACGTTAGTCACTACATGTTTAGGTAGGTTTACTGTTGACAGTAAAACTAAATCACCTTCAATAAATGTTTGAGCATTTGCCCTTCCATTATTGTCTGCGTTTCGCTTTTGCTTATCCACCGCTTCCGCGATGGAGTCTTGCACGAAACGGACTACCGCTTCACGAGTCAGCAGGAAATCCTCAGCTGACTCGTTGCTTTGGCTGCAGTGCATTGTGAATGCACTGCAGAGATATCGGTTACTAATCCAGCGAGAACAATACTGTTCTCACTTATGATAATTCGAACGATGCTGATATCTTCAGCATCGTTATCAGTAAGAGCGCCATCGCTCTTACTTTCTTCCTCTTCACCGAAGTCGAATGGTACGACTTCGGTTGCTTTCGCGTCGACTATAACGACGTCGCGTGATGAGCAAGAGCAAGATTGGTTCTCGCTCGAGCGAATCTCTCCTCCCTTAGATTAGAGTCACCCTCTACTAAGGTGGGGACACGTGGATGGCGAAGTCCATTCACGTAGAACGGTGTATGCGTCGTAGACGCATGCACGGAGTTGTTGATGGCGAATTCGACCATCGACAAGAACTCACTCCAACTCGTAAACGAGTGGACGTACCCTCGAAGAATCTCTTCGAGGACGATTGGCGCGTTCAGTCTGACCATCAGTTGCTGGATGGTCAGAAGTAGACATTGTGAGCCGTGTTCCAAGTGTTTGGAACACGGAACGCCAAAACTCAGCCGTGAACCGGGGGTCCCTATCGGACACAAGTTCACGGGGTAAATCGTGCAATCGAAAGATTGTATCGATAAACACTCGAGCACAGCCCTCTGCTGTGATCGACTCAGGTACAGCAACAAGATGTACCATCTTGCTGAACCTGTCTACAAACACGAGGATACCATTATTCCCGTGAGCGTCTTTGGGAAACCCAAAGACGAAGTCCATTAATACGGACTCCCAGAACTCTGCCGGAACAGGTAGGGGCTGCAATGGTGCACGGAGTGAAGGACTAGGCTTCACTCGTTGACACACCTCGCAAGCACGCACGTACTTGCGCACAAACTTATACTGGCGTGCCAGTAAAAGTCGCGACTGACCGTGAGGTAAGTTTTCTCACGGCCGCGATGCCCACTTATTGGTGCATCGTGACATTCAAACATGATCCGTAACCTAAGATCATGTTGTGGCGGTACAACGACACGAGGCGTGTCGTTGTTGACGGCTGTGTAGTACAGTAAGCCGTCCCGCTGGGTGTATCGATCTAGAGAATATCGATACATGGCAGGCAAGCGCTTCTTAGCTTGCGTGGATGGGTCCTTGAGGTACTCCATCAGGCGTACAAGATCATTATTTTGT